ACTTTTTTTGTTTTCTTAGTAGTCCTTAACATAACGCAAATCTAATCGTATATCATTCACTAGATATGGCCAAAAATCATCCTGGGTCGGCGAATCCCATCTCGCTCCCAATCTCAAGTGGTCGGATTGTAAATGGACCGGCTAGTCCCGATCAAAAACCTTAGGACTAATCTTAGGTTGGATCAATCCCAATTATTACTCTAGTTTAAAACACATCTTTTTTACAGAATGTTATAGAAGTTAGTATAATTATGATTTTCGAACCATTTGTAGTTGTTCCAGTTCCACATGGATCGATCCAGAAAAAACTCAATCTGGTTAAAACATTCTAAAAAGGCTTAGACTAGTCCAGATGTGGTACGATAAACCGTAAAAATTCAAACTGACAGCCTAGCTTAGTCAAGAGCGTTAAAAAAAAGCCCGCTCTAATAAGTTTTTTCAATGCTTTTGGTCCGTTCAGGTTAATAAAAAAATCCCGAATTGATACGCATCTATAGACTAAAATTTAGATTGATAATATGAGCTAAGACCATTTGGAAGAAAAAATCCAATCTAGTTCGTTTGGTCAAGACTATTGGTCCATTCCAGATAGAGATGGCCAAATGGCCCAGCTCGGCCTGGTGGAGGACCGGCCCGTCCCGGGACCGATTGGAGTCGGTTTGGGACCACCGATTAAGAACCGGTTATGGTTTTCATCCAAAAACAAGGCCTGATCTGGCCCAGGACCGGTTATAGGCCCGGTCCGATTTTTTTTTATAATGTATTTTTAAATGTATTTGTAGCTTTCTAAGTGTATTTGATTGAAAATCAAATTACAAATTTACAATAAAACATATTTTTTAAGTGTATTTGAATAAAAAAATCAATTATAAAACTATAATAAAACGTAATTTTTAAGTGTATTTGATTGAAAACCAATTATAAAACTACAATAAAATGTATTATTTAAGTGTATTTAATTGACTTAATTATAAATTTTAAAGTGTATTAGAATAACATAATGTATTTTTAAAAATTTATCAAAAAGAAATTTAAAAAAATATAAAAAGAAAATGTTTTTTTTTTAATATAGGACCGGTTTGGGTCCGACACAGGATCGGTTACCGTCACCGGTTACTAGTACCCTTAACCGGGCCTTAATATATTCGACAGGACCGAAACCGGTTATGAGCATCACTGTTTCAGCCTGACCTAAGACCGGATTTTGGTCATCACTAATTCCAAATAAGAAAGCAAAAAGAATTAAACAAAGTTTAGAAAGATAAATATATATATATACACACTCACACATAAATATAATAATTAACGTATCATCTCCTGATGAGTCGGTTATCTTGTTTTTCCGTCTAAACACGTATGTAGACACAATTTACATTAGTAATTCAAATAGGCTATTTAGTTGACATTTATCCTTTTATTCAATGAATCCCACCAAATTAGGGTGCCATTATTTTTTTCATTTTTTAACTGATTTCCGTAGGAAACAGGATTTACTTTCTTAGCAGGGTAAAATAAGTAATTAAGAATTTAACTCTGAATTCGTATTCAAGCTTCTAAGTCCGAAGAAATCCCAATTAAAAAGTCTGAACTGTGAAGTATTCTTCATAGTTAATTTGCAGACTTAGAAGATAACTCTGAACTTTTGTGCTTTAGAGTTATTTTCCTGACTTAGAAGATAACTCTGAACTGTTGTTTTTCATAGTTACACTTAGGAGTGAATTTCCAGATTCTTAGAATAGAACTCTGAACTGTTGTTCTTCAGAGTTATTTTTTAGACTTAGAAGAAAACTCTGAACTGTTATTCTTCAGAGTTACACTTTGGAGTGATTTTCCAGATTTAGAAGACAACTCTGAACTCTTATGCTTCAAAGTTATTCTCAGAGTTATTTTACAGAGTTAGAAGACAACTCTAAACTGTTGCTCTTCAGAGTTACAATTTGGAGTTAATTTCCAGACTTAAAAGATAATTCTGAACTCTTGTGCTTTAAAGTTTTTTTTTCCAGAGTTAAAAGACAACTGGGTTAATTTCCAGACTTAGAAGACAACTCTGAACTGTTGCTCTTCAGAGTTATTCTTAGAGTTGTTATTCAGAGTTATTTTCCAGACTTGGAAAACAAGTCTGAACTGTTGTTCTTTAGAGTTACACTTTGGAGTGAATTTTCAAACTTAGAAAACAACTCTGAACTCTTGTGCTTCAAAGTTATTCTCAGACTTAGAAGTCTGAACTCTGAAGACTTCTACAATTCTGAAGAGTACAAGTCTAAAGAGTCATTCTTCAGAGTTAGCTCACCCGAATTTTGAAGTCTTCTTTTTCAGACTTAGCTCACCTGAACTATAAATTCTGAAGTCTCTTTTTTTTAAACTTAGAAGTCGAACTCTGGGAAAAAAATCAGACTTAGAAGTCTGAACTCTGATTTAATGGGATTGATTTTATACTTCAAAGTTGTTTCAAGAGTACAAGTCTGAAGAGTCATTCTTCAGAGTTTTATTCGAGAGTTGTTTCCAAAGTACAAGTCTGAAGAGTCATTCTTTAGAATTAGCTTACACGAACTCTGTAGTCTTCTTTTCCAGACGGAGCACCATGTAGAGCCTCTGCATAGTGCATGCAGAGCATCTGGCTTTGCCTATACAGAGTTATGAAGTTAGAAGAGTTTTACTTCAAAGTAATTTCAAGAGTGCAAGTCTTGTAATAAACTTATCTAGACTTTGAAGATAAGTCTTCAAGACTTAGACTTAGTCTTGTAAGCCAGAGCCCCTCTGGTTGGTCTGGCTTCTAGATGACTTTGCTTCTGGTTGTTTATTTGAACATTGAAAAAATATTTCAATCCATCATAAAGGAACCAGATGGACTCTGGTTGATCTTCATGTTTAACCAGAAGGTCTCTGGTTGTAATTGAAACTCAAATTCTTTAAATATTTAACATTTTTTTGATTCAGAGGCTTTGGTTGGCCTTGCTTTTGGTTGGTGACTCCACATGAGCTCTGGTTCTTAAGGGTGCGTTTGGCACGGACATGACAATACAAGACAAGACAGAGATCTATGTCCCATGTTTGGCATGAATTTTATGTGGAACAGACAGGAACAGAGTGTAACAAAATGGAACAAACCTGTTCCACCTCTACCTCATTGAACAGGATTGAATAAGGTGGAACAGACTTATATTTTACCAATATAACTCCAAAATAAAACTTAATTCTCTTCTAAAACATCAAATAGGTCCCTTTTTACATTTTATTCATCCTTTAAATTTTATTTATTGTATTTTATGTTTCTTAAATTTTCATTTTACTATCCTCAAAATATTTTTTATACGGTTTCAGTATTTTTATTAATTTATGTAATTTATTATATATTAATAATAAAAAATAATGTAGAAAAGAGATAAAAATAAAAATAGAAAACTACATAAACTTTTTATGGTGTCATTTTAATTGTTTTGACGAAAACTTCAAATGATATATTTTATTATAAAAAATAGTTATTCTATTATAATTTAATAAATTACATAAATTAATTAAAATAAACAACTCATCAGGGGTAAATTGGTCATTTTACTTATTCTGTTCTGTCCAGTTCTATCTTACCAAACGTTGAACAGTTGTTCTATCATGTCCTGTCCTTCAGTCCAGTCCAGTCACCAAACACACCGTAAGGACTAGAGAGCTCTGGTTGGTCTTGCTCTGTATGATGTAAACTTTACCATGGGGTCTTTTTCAAAGATATTGGGTATTTGAATAACTCTGAACTCAAGGTCTTCAGATTTGACACAGACGATCTTCTAAGTTTAAATTCAATTTACTGATATAGTTTCATTTTTAAATTCTATTTTATTCTAGGTTAACTTTATTTTAACTAATTATTGATATAGTTTCATTTCTAAATTTAAGTCTGCAGAGTTATACTTGAGAGTTATTTCGATAGTACAGTCTGAAGTCATTCTTCAGAGTTTTACTTTAGAGTTATTTCACGAGTATAAGTATGAAGTCATTCTTCAGAGTTATACTTCAGAGTTATTTCAAGAGTACAAGTCTGAATAGTCATTCTAAAGAGTTAGCTCACCCGAACTCTGAAGTCTGTTTTTTCAGACTTAGCTCATCTGAACTATGAAGTCTTTTTTTCAGACTTAAAAGTCTGAACTCCGAAGTCTTTTTTTTAGACTTAGAAAAAGAAGTCTGAAGTCTTCTTTTTTAGACTTAGAAGTCTGAACTCTGAATCTTCTATGTTTGAAGAATACAAGTCTGAAGAGTCATTTTTTAGAGTTGGTTCACCCGAATTCTGAAGTCTTCTTTTTCAAACTTAGCTCATCCGAGCTCTGAAGTCTAAACTCTGAAGTCTTTTTTTCAAACTTAGAAGTTTGAACTCTGATTTAGTGGGATTGATTTTATGCTTCAGAGTTATTTCAAGAGTACAAGTCTGAAGAGTTATTCTTCAGAGTTTTACTTCAAAGTTATTTTCAGAGTACAAGTCTTAAAAATCATTCTTCAAAGTTAGCTCACCCAAACTCTAATGTCTTATTTTCCAAACGGAGCACCATGCAGAGCCTTTGCATAGTGCATGCAAAGCTTCTGGCTTGCCTATATAGAGCTCTAAAGTCTGAATAGTTTTACTTCAGAGTTATTATTAGAATACAAGTCTAAAGTTATTTTAAATTTACTTATAAGTTTAAATTCAATTTACTGATATAGTTTCATTTTTAAATTTTATTTTATTCTAGGTTTAACTTCATTTTAACTAATTATTGATATAGTTTAATTTCTAAATTCAAGTCTGAATAGTCATTTTTCAGAGTTATTATTCAAAGTTATATTTCAGAATTATTTCAAGAGTACAAATCTAAAGTAGCATCGTACTTTCGATGATGATTCATATCTATAAAATAAATTTCTAACAAGAGAATTCGTTCAAAAAAGAACCGACAGTACAAACTAGATTAAATGCAATCCAACTCCACCCGTAACAATACAACATTGGTAAATCATATTCCAAAAGCAACGATTAATGTAAAAAGACTTTTCTTTTTCTTTCTTTCTGTAATAATTTCCACTCTCACCGATTTTAGGAGAAAGTGCGATACAAGCTTAGCATATTATTCTCCTTTCATGCATATTGTTCTCTAAATTCATAAATGAATGAGGAAACAGAAATTAACATCCATGTAATTTAATAAAAATGATGTAATTAATAGCGCTTTTCTGACCGGATTATGCTCTAAATATTAGGTTGTGACAGGTTTTGTCACACGGGTACGGGCAGTCGATTTGTTTCACAATCGAGCGTTCAAAGTACCAGTCTCCAACGGCCGATGCAATTGCCTGTACGTATCACATAAAAGTAATTAGCGTTCTAACGCCATTTTCAGCAACTGAATAGGAGCTAAACACCAAACCAACCCAAACCAAAGTAACACAATATACAAACCTGCCTCTACCCCCAAAGAGTAGAGCCACTGATTCTATCAAGACAGCCCGCTTGTGGAACATGTAAAGAGAGAAGGGTGGATATGACAAATTATTGAAAAACCAAACCAAATGGAACATATTATGCCCAGGGGTCTGGAGAGATTAAGATGTAAGCAGGCATGACCTCTAACAAAAAAGAGTAGAGCGGCTTATGAAAAGTGTATTATTGGAAAAAATTGATGATACCTTGTTTCCTAAACGAGGAGAATTACGGGCAAACCAGGTATCCTGCCTCTCTGATTGGCAATGAGCAAAGCATGAATTTATGAACAATCCATTTTGTTTGGACAAGAAGAATCTTTGGGTTGCTTTCAGCATCTGATTTCTAAATCCTTGAAGGAAATTTATCTGTGAGGGTGAACAATTTGCAGGGTTCTTGCGGCATGCCTGCCAGACGCCATGAGGATCAGCAGATCGAGGAGCTAAACTATCACTGATCTGCCAAGAATCATAGGCTGTATTCAGGAGGAACATTGGGGTCCTGAGGTTTGAAATTATGTTCTGAGGGAAAAAACACTGAAACAAACCAAGTGTTAGAAAAAATGCAGTAGATATATATATATATATATAGAGAGAGAGAGAGAGAGAGAGAGAGAGAGAGAAAAGGGGGGGGGGTCCAGGGGAAAACCCTAAAAAAATAGAATTGAGGAACAACCCGGTAACCATTCATCTAGACAGTATGCACATGTGCATACAAGTAACTGATGCTGCTTTTGGTTTTTATGCACGTGTGCAAACCGGACAAATTGCTTCTAAATTACTTGTATACATATGTGCATACCGTCCAGATGAATGGTTACTAGGGTGTTCCTTAGTTTTTCATTTTTTTGTGTTTTTTTCCCCGAACCTTGCCACATATATATATATATATATATATATATATATATATAATTGAGAAGAATTCTTACAGAAGTTGGATCCAGGTGGTTGGTGCATGTTCTTGGTAAGTTTTTAGCAGCCCCCTGTGGAAATGATAGAGCAGAATCAATATGGTTCAAGTGAAAGCATTATAATTTGTAATCAAAGTTTGAAAACCAGGATTAAAAGTACCTGGTAGGTAACAACACCATGATACATGTTTCTGAGGGTGTGTCCACCAGATATATCACGCCTGCATTTGCACAACCCACCAACATTAAACCCTTTCCTCTGTCTCTCTCCCAACTGTTAGGAGAGATCTCTCTCTCTCTCAACTATTAGGAGGTGGGAGAGAGACAGACTCAGAATTATTTGAAGTGTAGAAGCAAGAAACAGGACTTACACATCCAAGAACATTCCTGCATCAGCAAGACACTTGACTCTAGTTCTTCTTGGGAATAAATCTCGGAACTCATCACAGTGTAGAATTGAAGCCAGACCACCAGCTGAGCATCCAGAAAGAAGAGCCTGAAATCAACCAACATTTTACTCTGCATGTATTTCGATATAAAATGCATACAATATATACCCATTGGAACATTAATCAAATGGTTAGCGAATGATACCTGGTTAGCATACCGCATTCCTTTTGACATCAATTCTTCCATGGCAGCCAAATATATCTTTTGTCCTCTAAATTGCAGGTTATGAACCTACCAACACAATATCATACCAATATATTCATGTTTGATTTGAAGGTAACAAATATATCTATATCTATATCCATCCGAAAGGAAATTTGTAAATGAGTGCAGTTACATATAGAAACACCCACCTTATCTTCGGAATCCCCAGTAAAAGAGGCCCCATCACAATAGCGAACCTTCACTCGATTCCAATTGAAAAAATCTGTGCAGTATTTCAGGTTGATTAGTTCTCATTGAAAATTCTTACAAATGATAATAATCTTTGAGAGTGAGAGAAAGAGAGGCGGGATACCTGGATTTTCTTCAGCCTTGTTGCTCAAAATTCCTGTAAAAGCCAAATATTTTTCAAAATACTTTGATGACCCGCGCCTTGTTGTTTTACGGTAAACACAAGTTCTAACGTTGTTACACCATCCTCCACCCTGTAATACCATATTTAACAAACTTAAGTTAACATGTGTAGTCTGTTGTATTCACTATCCCAAAGAATTATATCAAAGTGCATGGATAGCATTTCTTGCAATCAAGTTCTAATGCCAAAGAGCACCATGGAAAGCGGCATCATTTCCCACTTCACAACATGCCTCGAGTCCCCTTGGGGCCACTGAAAGTTTGTCTGGATGTTAACTTCAGGGTCCATGGAATTAGTCGGGGTCGAGACAAACTCAGCTACACTTGTCCAAACGATTGTGACTTTCTTAAGACAACCTACAGATCCTGAGTTTAGTCATGGGATTAGGCGATGTTTGGTTGGTTTTCCATTAAGTCCGGTATGTATGTGTGGATTAACATGTCTATATAGATTGTGAAAGTTTTTGTATAGGAGGATTTTACATAGATGGAAGGAGTGCGTTTTTAATTGGGAGGGGCATAATTGGAAAAAACTTGGCTTTCTGTGTAAAGCTCCCTTGGAAACTTACTGAATAAACCACTTTATATATCATAAAGCCACTGTCAAAAAGTTATATATAGCTGACCGAATAAGTTGTGAATCATATTAAGCTCATTAAGCTACTAACAAACAGGCGCTTAGTCATTGCATAGTGAATTACTAGGGTGCATCGATGGGTAAAACAAGCCCCGTCTATCCCATCCCACTAGCAAGTAGGGTCTGGAGAGGATAAGAGGTAAGCAGACCTAATCTCCACCTCAACCTCAAATAGTAGGGTGGAAAGGGAGAAAAACAGGTAAGCTAAGACTGATGAATAGTAGAACTAGAAGTCTCCCTCAGTCAGAAAGAAACAGAAGATATGGACAGATATGTAAGTAGGCTAAAATCAAGATTTTTTGAACATATGAATAGATATAAAAAAAGTTCAAATGTTATAAAGTTGTCACATACTTCCAAGTGAACCAGCCAACTGTTGGCACCTGAACCAAATCCACGGTGCAAATGATACCCAGGTAACGTTCCATCCATGCATACTGCAGAAATTGAAACACAAAATATGGAATTGAAGACCATTTACTAAAAAAAGTCAAATTTTGACCTTTGAAAGTGAAACTGGTTGTTGATTAACATCAAAATGGACAGGAAATAATTGAAATTTGTACAAGGATTGGAAACTAAAAAAGAGAAGTAGAAAAACAAGTGTCAATTTTGAATCTGAGATGGAGTAATTTGAAGTCAAATGCAGAGCAAAGAAGCGTAAATTACAAACCTAGAAACTAAATAAACAAATGATCAAATGCTTATAAAACACACAAACAAACGTATATATAAAACCCCAAATCTGCAAATCAACACAAAAAGGAGATCAGATTCGATCAAGATTTGGAAAGCTTTTGAGTTCATCAAATCAAGCAAAACCCCTTCAAAATACAAAAAAAAAAAAAGAACAAGAAGGATATGCAGAAAGTGGGTAGGTACCAGCGCCTTTGGCAGCAGCTCCATGAATGAGAGTGAGACCCACAAGAAGAGGATTATAAGCAGTAGCAGCAGCTGAGAGTTGAAAATTGGAAACGTCTTCCAAAAATGACAGCATTTCTTCTGTGGTATTGGCATGGAACTCTTTATCATCAAGCTCATACCCATTGACCCATGTCCCCAATAAGCTGCTGAATCCGATCACCACTATCAAAACCCAATCACAGATGCGGTTCCTCATTCTTGGATCTAGCTGCAAATGTCACTAACCCTTATGCCACATATATATACATATATGTGTATATATACATGACCTTGTGTTTACAAAGATCTTTATAATAAATTTGATGACATGTTCTTCGTGATTTGGTACCTTATAATGACCTCACTATAAAAGAAAAAACAAAAATGGAAGAAAAATCGATTTTGGGTTATGGTATTCGCATTTCCATAAAAGTTACTTGGATTCGTCTTCAAATGAATTAAAATTTTACTTAATTGGGGATTTACAACCACAATGTTGTGATTTCTTGTGGGTTTTTATAGTAACTTTTTATTGTTCAGACCTTTATAAAAATTCAGGTATTTGAATAGATAGAGTTTTTGTTTACATTATTTTTAATTATTGTTTTTTATCTTATCATTTTATATTGTTTTAATATATTTATAAAACACTAGAAAAGTATTCGCGCAATGCAGCGAAACACATATTGATTTTAATGTTTTATTTTATTCTTTGTCTCTGTCGATGTTATAATACGATTTTATGCATTTTAAAGAAACCAATAATGATTTTATTTTTGAATAAAATATAAATTTGAAGATATCATAAAAATTTGAAAAAAATTATATCAATTTTAATATCAAAACAACTATTTAAAAGTTTTCATTTTTTATGTAATTTATTT